TCAAAGAAAAAATATTTGGTGTTGCATTAGATCTTCCTTTTCCCAAACAGCGAAATGTGAAGATGCTACTAGTCAGTATATGCAAAAGGCAAACAATCAATGACAGGTTTCTGTCTGACTGTGCTTTCTAATTTGTTTTTGGAGATGGTGTTCACTTAATTATTAATAAATTTGTAAATACCTGAAAAATTGTTTTAACTACCTGTTTATTAATATTCTTAAATTCCATATAAAGGGTGAAATCTGCATAAGAGACTTTCAGAAACCTTTATGTCTAACTGGTTACTCTTCTATGTTAACTACATTTTTTAAAGTAGTTCAGGGCCTCAAAGTAGTTTGCAGCTGTCCTGTTACAAGTATGTGTCTATTTTTTCCCCTGGGATGAGGGTAAAAGTTTCCCAAGACTGTAAAAAGGCCTGAATCTCTTCTAATTTATACCTGTCTAAATTCCCAATGTGAGTCTGTTCTTCCCATTGCAATTGCAAATGTTCCTGAGTTTTCCTGGTACCTGTGAGAAAGGTTCTATAAAAATTCTGATCTTTTATAGGCAGTTTCTCCTCTCTCAGTAGGTCTAAACCTCTAAAATACCCATTATTACTCTAAAGGTGTATGAGCGTTTCTTAATTTCTTATAGAGAGAACTATGTTAAAAGTACACTGAAATTTCTTTTGCCTCAAGCATAAAAATATCAGAGGCCACCCACTTCAGATAAGCAACAAAGAAATAGCTCAAAAAAACCCAGCAGTAAAATTCTGTCTTTCTCCACTTTCCCATTGTGTAGGGATATTGAAACAGTGGGATATTGAAACATCGAAGTTTGATCATCTTACATCGTTAACAGAGGCTGGATAACATTACCAAATGAGAGAAAATCTTGAGACCACACTGTAAAGAATAAAGGGATTAAAGATACCTGATCTGTCTCTGACTCCCCATATTCCTGTACTGGGGCTGCTATCCCAAAGAGTAGGGATTGCACAGGGCGAGCTCCACGGACTGGGGAGCAGAGATGAGATTCATTTGGAGGAAAAAAAAAAAAAAAAAAAAAAAAAAAAAAAAAAAAGCAATCTAGAATCAGAATTGTGTCTCAAATGGTTAGTGATAACACTGTACTGTTATTTCAGATAAACCTGCAGAAGAAGATGAGAGTCACTGGAGTTATAACTCAAGGTGCCAAGAGGATTGGAAGTCCAGAATATGTAAAATCTTACAAAATTGCATATAGTAATGATGGAAAGTCGTGGACAATGTACAAAGTAAAAGGCACAAATGAAGATATGGTAAGATTAAGCCATCTGTATATGACTACATCTTATGGGTTAGCTGCCTTCAGAAGTATGAGGTATCTCTATTAGATAAGCATAATTGCCTGATAGTATGATACAGGTTGCCTTATTATTTTTCTCTGGAAAAAAAAAAAAAAATCAATAAATTTACACTTTCTGTCTGCTAAGAATTTCTTATACTTTAATTGATGGTTGTATAAATACTATGTCCCAAGGCTAGAATAATCCTTTTTATTACACTTAACTGATTTTCATTTTAATTAGTTTACCAGTAATTACTCATTACTCTGTTTTGAATTTAGTTTTAGTACATTGGCAGATTAGTGTTAACCCTTAAAAGCATAGAACCCATTCATCACTGCTAATCTGTACTGCACAAACAGTGTCATCCAGTGGGAAGTATGTGTTTACAGTTTATAGTTACCACTTATTTTTTATAGAGTTGTGCAGAAGCAGCAAAAATCCCTTTACTGTGCAAGTTAAGATAGAACTAAGGCACTTTGCAGCATTAGACATAGTTTCTCTATGAGAAAGTTAAAATGCTGTGTGAAGAGGTACATAATGAGGGAAGAAAACACAGTACAAGCATATCGGGTTAGAGTGAGGAGTGAATGGAAGAGTGTTTATAGGTTTAATTCAGCTCCCCCTGCGATCAATGAGAGGGTTACAGTGCACTTCAGTGGGAGTTGGATCAGGTTCTTGAAGTAGAGGGGAAAAAAATAAATATGTCAGTCAGTGTAAATAATTGCAGACTAAATTGAATTGGGACTGTTTAATATGCTAATTAAAAAAGAAGACATAATTTAGTTTCATTAGTACCTTCCGTTTCTAGAAGTGACAAGGTAGAGGTCCTGATTCAGCACAGGTGGCGAACACATGCTGATACAAGCCAATGGCAGTGTGTTTTGCTTAAAAACTTGTATGTTGGGCACTGGAGATGATGAAACAACCTCTGAGAAAAAAGCTTGTAGAGAAATGTGCAGGGGCAGTCAGAAGAACAACACAGATATTTTTGAGATATGGAAATGAACTGAACTTTCAGTAATCCTCCTGACACCGTTTTACGGTCATTTTATCACAGGTGTTCCGTGGAAACATGGACAACAACACCCCATATGCCAATTCCTTCACCCCTCCCATTAAGTCGCAGTACGTACGGCTGTACCCTCAGGTGTGCAGAAGACACTGCACGCTGAGAATGGAACTGCTTGGCTGTGAACTGTCAGGTGGGTTTCGTCCGTCGCCGCCCCTCAGGAGTCAGACAGCAAGCAGCACATTTTTGTGCCCAACGTCTAAACTGTGTTCAGTTTATTCCTGGTGAAACGCAGTTGGCAATCCTGAGTTTATCGAGACTCAGTCACTCACCTCTTGTTATGGACATTATATAATCATACATACATAAGGAGCAACACTTACCTAAATGATGTAAGTGACAGTAGTTGCTTGCAGTAGGGCAGCAATAGTAGTAAGGTAATGTGGTAGCAACCTCATAACACTTTGTAAATTTTTCTGTGCGCATTGGCCTCTAATTACGTGCAGCCTAGAAAAGGTCATTTATAGCAGTTTTAATAAGTATCAACAGCTATCGGGACCCGTAATGTTACATACTAAGTAGACCGTAAGACAGACAGTCTCTAACTCACAGTTATGCTCAGCACAGCCTAACTAGGTGCTGAGAACGGTTTCCGAGAGCCAAAGCTGTTTGTGCCGTGCTGTACAGCAGAGTCACGGCAGAAGCAGGCATCAAAACTGGTTTGAGTAATTTCTCCTGGCTGTTTGGGTGACCATGCTGGTGTGCGATGTGACATCCTCAGAGGGACAAGGGTGCTTCAGCTGCCATCGAGGACCACTCAAAGTGCAGTAAGATATATTTTGCTGGATTGTTTTAGTCAAGATTTCAGCTTAGATTTGCTTTTTGGATTTCTAGTAGAACCAGGGATTGCATCTCGTAGCAGAAAGTAAATGAACAAGTGAAACAATATAAAACCTCTTAAAGTTTGTAGTAGCAGAAGTTATAGCTCATAAATGTAAAGTCTGACCTCTAGCCACTCTCCATGTTCCTGTACAAATTCAGTAAAGCATGTAAATTTTTTATCTTTTTCAAGAAATCAACCTTTTACCAGTGGGAGCGCTCCACTGAATTCATTTAAGAATGAGTTTTATGTGGCTGCCTGCTTTACTGTACAAACAATAGTCATCCAGTTCACGAATGATATATCAAAACAGCTGGAGTTAAATAATTCTCATTCCTCCAGTGGCATCAAAACCAGATTCAGAAATGAAATGTTAATGCATTAATCTCACTGTAGCCCTTTTCCAATATAGATAGGTTTGAGAGTAAATAGAAAATTCGGTCTAGCTGCTTTAGTCTATTAGATTTATTTTTTTTTTATGTCTTCCGTTTCTGGAACCACAATTTAGAGTAAGTCCTTGCCAGAATGACCAGGAATTGTTTTGCTCAAAGAACTGTGAAAGCTACTCAAGTGAATTCATTTCAGTGGTCTCCTAACAGTTTCAAGGTCATAATTTCTCAGAACTGCAGGCAGCCAAGGCTCAGCAGAATAATTTCAATCTTACTTGAAAGAATAGTATAATTATACGTAACAACAGACTAACTCACTCTAATTCCAAGTGGTCTGTCTTAGGCTGAAAGACACTTTGAGAGGTCTGGTTTCTCTAAGAAGTCCTGGTGGTAGAGAGGAGAGCCATTATAGAAAGGAGGGAGACTCTCTTGCAGCACCACCACTAAAACTGATTCTTTCTCATGACAAACTTCAGCAAAATTTTCTATATAATCTGCTCTAGGCTTATAAAGAGCTTTACATACCAGGACCCATGGTCAGATCTTATTGAAAACCATAATCAATGCTTGTGGAGTTCCCATCAATAAATTAGGCATTAATATCGTGGCCTTGTGTTCCTGCCTTACTTGTGTTTTGCACATCTCTGTGTTGTAATTCCTTTCCCTTCATAAAGTATTGATGGGGGAGGAGAAAGAGATCTCAGCTACTCATTACTGGAATGCCTTTTTTCATTAAGCTGTTATTAATAGGAGCATCAAGCTGTTGTTTTTAAAAAACATGTAACTGTTCGCACAACACAGTGACTTACTCATGCCATTCACTCAGATGTTTAGTCTGCACGTAGCAGGCTCTGCCTTCTTGCATCCAGTCCGTGTCATACATTGTTGATGCTCGTGTATGTTGGTGGATGTGCACCAGGTTCAGGAAATTCTTGGTGTTCTGAGTTTGTCAGTTCTTGTAGAGGGATGCTGGTGCTCAGAACTTAACCATCCATTTGAGACTCATAACGTCTTCTGAGCAAGCAATTTTGCTCTTTTCAGCATGTTCTCTGGTAACTTTATCCTAAAAGCACCTAGAGGTACCACTCACACACACGTGGATTTTGTAACATCTGCATTTAATACTACATTTCCCTCCCCTTGTTTGTCTTCAGCACTATCCAATATGGAAAGGAATCCTGTATTCATTAATAGGAAGAAAATTTTTTACATCTCTTGATTTTCAGAAATTAATAATATCACAGTATTAATCAAAATAAAACTGCCTTTGCCCTCAAGTAATTGACCTATGCTGCTTTTGCATATACTGTATGAATCCCGGCCAAAGACAAGATGCATGTAGACCTTTGCATGCAGATCCATTTGTGGGTTTGCCTCCACTGCATTTGACATTTAATATTTCCTTTGTGGGTTTGAGCTTTTTGAAAGAAGAGGTAGGTGAGGGGTATGGTAGAGGATACAGACTGAAGAGTAAAATAATGTGCCCTCAGAAGAGTCAACAGAGAATAACCTTTGTGTGGATTCTTTCAGTTTTCAGATGCTAATACACACTCATTATTCACTGCTCCTGTTTCATTGAGCTACACCAAATAAGAAGTAACTGCAAACTTATACCTATATAGGTTGAAACATACAGAATTATCAGATATCATTCACCACAGATGGTGGTATCCAAAGCATCTCAAACATTTTGACCTAAGATGCTCCACTGGGCATAGCTGTAAGTATGTCTACATCAGCTCTCTCTAACTTTTAACAGGTAGTAAAAATGGGGAGATTGAATCCTTTCACAGGGACATTGCAAAACAAATTTGAAAAGATACAGTGCAGTAAGTCCCGGGGAGCCATGAGCATTATTATAGATAGAATGCTATGAGGGATGACTATCTATAGACACAAGGTTTTGTACTAGTTAATGATTCTGTCCTTTGTGCTCTAGGTTATAGCTCACCTATCAAAATAAACAGTCATTATCTTCTGTCATTGCAGCAGGATGCCGTAGGAGCTGGGAAGTGACTGGGTCTGCTGTTGCTCTCTGTGACACAGCACTAAGACATTGTTCTGCCACCCATGTGCATCATGCTCATCTCTTCTGGTTCTCATTGCTTTTCTCACTTTCTCCTGTTACCTTTAACAACTGTCTTCCTTTTGGGGCAGTGGAGAAGGAAGGCGAGTGTAAAATCCCATTAATGCACGCACACATGCACAGACACACAAGCAGATATATCTGTTGTTTCATAAATCAATAATAACACTATTTTTGATGGATTGGACCAGCACTGAAAAACAGGTTTGACAACCCATTCTTTTGTGTCAGGAACCTCCTTCAGACTCTTCAGATGAAACATTCCTGCTGACAGCCCTTGTGATCTTGGAGTGATACTTCAGAATTGAATAATAAGCAAAGTCCTTCTCTAAAGCAACAGAAGACTCTCTCTCATTTGTGCTATCAGTTGCTCCCTCGTGCTCCCAGGAAAATTGTTTTGTTGTTGTTTTGAACTAGGTAGCTCGTTCTACAGACAAGGCTGTACAATTTCCAGTTGTGCACTGAGAATCAGTTCTGAAAGTTGCACTTTTTTTTCAAAAATTAATTCTGTTCTGTTTGGTTTTTAATTGAATATGAAATATGTCAGGTTTTCAAATATTAAATACAGTAGTTACTACAGTAAAGCGCTTTTTTTTTTTTTTTTTTCTGGTAATATGCATTTACTCCTGCTGTTAGAACCCCCACAAAGGGCTTGGTCTTACCTTCTTGATTTGAATCACTAATAATTCGACTTATTTCTGTGTGTTAAACCTACAGAAGAAAAAGAAAGTAGAACCTGAAAAAAGGTCTTTGGTAACGATAGCAAAGAAAAAATCAGGTCTTTAAATGTGAGTAAACATACTGTGGAGGAAATTGACTTTTAAGAATAAAAGAACCAGCTTTGATATCTATCTCAGATAAAATGAGAAACTAAATAAAACTTTTAAGGTGTTTTAAGAGGTCACACAGTGCTCTGGCTGTATCAAGAGACACCAGCTGAGCAGGGTCATGGTCCCAGCAGGAAAGCCTTCACGACTTAGATGTGTGCTTTAAGAAATACAGCTGGTGACTCAGCAAATGATTACCTGATAGGGACCAGCTCAGCAGTGTGGGATGTGAGTGTCAGGTGGAAAACCTCTCTCTTCTCAATGATACATAAAGTCAAGGTTGCGTGCATTCACAGTGATGATGCACTCCTTGCAAAAACAGATATATAAGATCTGGGCATGCTCTCACTCAATGAGTTAAGAGTATGTTAAAATATTATTGTCAATTTAACTGAGTCAAGTCAGCTACTGAACTGAGTAGGACCTCTGAATCTGTGAAGTGAAAACTTTAGGATATCTGCACATATGCAGGCTTTTGACAGCTGGGGCAGGAAGGAAATGAGAAAATGGCTTCTTATGTTCCCATCTCCATCTTTCACCTTTTCCTCAACCATTAAACCTTGCTCCACCCAGCCATACATTCAATTTTCCTGACCTCTTAGCAGCCCTCTTGCTCTCAACCACTTGACTCATTTTTTCTTATTTTTTAAAATCTTAAATCCATGCAGCTCATCTGCCTCTCTTGACTTCTAACACTGTTGTTCCAGTGCTGCTATCAAAGGGTGTCTCCCCTGTTATCAGCTTGCTTATTCCCTTTTCTCGGAGTACAAGAGCAAGGCAGAGGAACATAGAGTCACTTATTGATTTTTTTTTTTTATTTTTTTCATGGACACCCAACAGAGAAAGGAGGAGCCCAAGATCTATCTGTTGCTACTGTCAAAATAATTTGATCTGGGACATCCACCTGGTTTAAACAAATAAGCCATTAACTCTCAATTTCTCCTAAGCGATTATCTCCTCCTATTCTCCCTCCTTTACAGCTAGTCATCCACTCTTGTCAGTGGGTGTTGAAGCTTTCTAAGTTTTTGCCTAGATGTCAACTAACTCAAAAATGTAGAAGAGCTCAGTGCTTGTTAACATTTTAACATTTTACTTCAGCAGTGGCGTAAGAAAAATTAGTGTTTCCTCCATAGGCAAACACATGGTTGACATGACATAGCAGAAAAGCACGAGAAAATTGAACTGAACAGAGGAAACAATAGCAAGCTGCTGGATAGGAAAATATAACCAAGATAAGAAAAGACAAAAGTAATCTTTTCTGCTTGTTTGCCTTCATAAATTTATGCCAGGATAAAATATGTTGAATTCTCTATCTTGTTTTTGATTCTTCCAAGGTAGTGTTGAAATAAAGTTCCTTGAATTGGCTATTTTTCATTTGTTTGCTAGCAATTCCTCCAACAACAGCCTTGATTAAAGCCTTTTCTTCAAGAGCTGCTATTTTTCTTTTCCATAACGGAAAACCTAAACCACTTACAGAGTTAAGTAAGTAGTGTCACAGATCTTATTTTGCCGTTCCAGGTTGCTCTGAACCCCTGGGGATGAAATCAGGACATATACAGGACTACCAAATTACTGCCTCCAGTGTTTTCCGTACACTAAACATGGACATGTTTGCTTGGGAGCCCAGGAAAGCCCGCCTGGACAAGCAAGGGAAAGTTAATGCCTGGACCTCTGGCCACAATGACCAGTCACAGTGGTTGCAGGTAAAGTTTCACATACATTTTCCCAAATGTTTATCTTCTTTGTGTTTCAGGTATGGGGATGGTTGGCTGGTTTAGGATTATATACATATTCTGCGGTTTCTGAGTGTAACCATCCTGTCTCTGGCACATGTATGTGCTGAAGCTATGAAATCATATCTTCATGTCTTTGGTACCTCTGTTGCAGAAAACGTGGCTCAGGGAAACTTTCACCTCCACTAGCCAAACCTTATGAGTTGTCCAGCAACTTTTCCTTTGCTAATGGACACACATAGTAGATGCAGATCTGTTTAACAGCTTCTCCTCTTTTGTTAAAAGAATTGATTTTTCTTCCCCCTTTCTGTCCTTCCAAAGCTCCCTGGAAAAACATATTTACTTAAACTTTGTGCACGTTAGCAAATCTGGCTCATAGAAATTATCTTTGTCTACTTGAGACTGCTCAAAATTACCTTCTGACATCACTCTGGAGCTAGCAAGACTGCTTCAGCACATGAATTCATTATAAAGCTGTGCACAGGGGTTGTTTTCAGCCTGGGAGTGATTTGTAAAAGTCAGTAGTACGCTAATGTGAAAGACTGCAATAAATCACCAGTATGGAAACCTATTCAACCAGTTGCTGACACGTTTACATTTTTTGAACTGTTGAAAATAGCAGTGTTTTGAGTCAGCTGCCAGTTTGCAGTGCAGTTCTCAGTTGGAAGCCTCAATAGTGCTAGATGTGGCTACTAACACCCTGCAATCTTTTCACATATAAATTATGGCATATTAGCTTTTTTCACCTACAGTTGCTAAGCAATTTTGCAATATGATTACTATCTTTTCTCCAACTTTACACACGTACAGAAAGAAGTTGCCTTGTCTACTTAACTTTTGAATAACTGAAGATCCTGGGATTTGCTGAAAGTTTTTTAGAGCAGCTTGTTGAAGCAGCAGTTAGTAACTTTTGGAGAGGAGGAAAAATTTATTCCTTTGTTTTATGGTGGAGAAGCAGGTGGAAGTGTTCCTCCACGTAAAAGAGAGGCAGTTGTATCGTGTTTAGCCCCATCGGTGACATCCAGGAACCAAAAGTGTGCAGAGACTCTACAGAAATATTCTGTGGAGTGTTATTCCTCCAGTGGATGACAGAGAATTTTCAATTAACTACAGATGGCAAGGGGCTGCAGAGTTAATTCCTATATTCTAAAATTTTCCATTGTAAATCTTGTTATATTCAAACCTACCTGAACGTGAATATTTAATCTGATTACCTGCACAGTCTCTGCAAGTTCTTGCAGTATCAGGCATACTCTTTTTTTATCTCAATAAGAAATTTGTGAAGAAATACTCATCTTTCAGTTCACTTGTCATATGGCTATGATATGAGCTTGGTAACTTCACATGAATACGTCCAATTTACACTTTCCTGATAGTCATTATACTTAGGCTATTTCTCTAGAAGAGTATCATGACATTTCAAGATTTTTTTAAAAAAGGAGGCATTAAAATCACTTGTTTTTTCAGTGCTTAAGCTGGTTGTTAACTTCTGCTATAGGCTGATTATTCTTAATTCCATCCGTGAGTAGAGATGAGATCAAATGCTTCAAGTCTACATAATGATTCTGTAAGAAAGACTTCTTTTCCATTTAAATTCGTCTGTTCATTGTTCTTTTTGCTGGTACTTCTCTTTTTCCCTTAAAATACAGAGTATTTTATTGTAACTTTTAACACCCTAACTGCGATTTTATTGTCATGCTGTTTTCGTAGAGTTTAGTCAAAACATATTTGCAGAAAACGCATATAAAAGCAGACTTATCTGTATGCCCTTTTCCCTCAGCAATTGCACATTACAAGGAGTGATCCCACTAGCAATTCCATGGTATCCTAAAACAGCTAAAGAAAGACACAGATTTCTGGGGTTTTGCTGAAGTAGCTGGCCTGCCAATATGATATTTCACAGTGTTAGCTTTCCATGCCTTTTGAATTTTCTCCACATGCCTTACTTTGTTTATCTTCTATAATTTTCACTAGAAAGCCTATAATATTGTGTAAAAGCCTGCTGAATACCTTTAAAAATTATTGTTAGAGTGTGTGGTATGTGGATGACTTTAACAGATCTGTTCTGACTGACAGTTTTTGGGGGGATCCTTGCCCAAATGCCATTGCTATCAACCGTTCCTCTGTTTAAAAGCTTTTGTGCTGACATCTCAGAGCACCTGCTGTGATAATAGTTGATGAGAGCTGATGTTTGCATTGTGCATAAATGTTACTTGCTACTTATGGGCAGTTCACAGCACTTCTGCATGAAACCTAGAGATAAATTATTTTCTATCATAAGCTGAAGTTGTTTCACTCAGTTTTCTCTCAAAATGGAAAATTCAGCATATTGTGTGTATTTAAAAATGCAGCCGTTAACAAGTATGCTCTCTGTTTTAAAGTGTTCTGATTGCTACATCCATAATACAGCTCCAGAGGCAGAAATATGAAGTATTATGTGGCTCCACATACAGACTGTTCATTTTTGGGTTCAAGAAGATACCTCACTGGTGCTGCAATTGTTGAAAATCTGTCGTGATCTAGACTCTGATGACTTACAAACACCAGGTTTCCGACACAACACTCATTTAGACCAAAAAAACATCATTAACAATGGAAGAAAGTATTTTTGTGATGTGGAGGAAAATTTAATGAGGTTAGATGACTAAAATTCTACTTTTCCAACTCAGTCATAGTCTGAGTCTGAATTCCCCCACATCTCACCCATGAGCTCTCTTGCCATTCCTTTGAAGATGATGCTGCAGCAGCAGTCAATTACCTGGCATAATTCATAGCACAGGAGCTTCCATTCATTTAGACAAGCCTGTTTAGTGCCTCTGTACTCATTGCAGTTGAAATCTATGCAGCTTGGTGATATAGAACAACATAGCTGCTCAGGTTTGGTATGAAATCTAACAGAGTAATCGTTTCCAGCAACTCTCTCTGCTCCTGAATACTTTCTCTACGGATTCCCTTTCTTTTGGAGCCACTTCTTTGAAATCATCTGAATAAAATTAAAGATTAGCAGATTAGGAGGATGTGGGGAAATTAAATTAAAAAAAAAAAACTAAAGTAATGGCTTGCTTCCCATAATTATGTATAAACTTAGCATAAACTAAGCAATGTAAATAATTTCAAATTAATTACTGAGAAAAGAAGAAAAGGCTAAACTTCACTTTCTTTCAAGGCAGTCCCCTTCCCTTTTTACTTTGATTTGCTTGTCAGCATCATTTGCTACCTTGAAACCAATTCACAGGCTTCTCCCAGAATCTCTTGCTAAACTACCACGCCCAGTCTGCTTTGCCAGTTTGGGGAGTGCTTCTGATCCTCCTAGACACAATCCAGGACCCCACTCCCTGTTTCTTCAATTACTTTACGTTACAGGAAGCGTTAAAGAACTTCTCGCCTTATGCCCAGAATGAGGCACTGAGGCTGTAAAGATTATTGAAAATTATTCCTACTGATCTTTCAGATGCTTCGTAACTGCTCTTGTAAATAGATTTTCACCAGTCTGTGTCTCATTTTCCTAACCGAGACTATCATTCAAGAGAATTAACATTTATCTCAAAATTCATTCCCACTCTACCACTAATTTTCTGCAGTTATAAATTATGAAATGAGGACAGTGGTTTAAACTCTCTTTTCTCTATTTACTGTTAGTTAAGTTTCGGTGTTTAAAAATATTTCCTTATTTCTGCTATATTGGCAGAGATACTATCTGTCATTGTATTGATTTCCCACTTTCTCTTGCTGTCTATAATAAAGGACAGCAACGCTATCTACTTTAATGCCTTTGCCCATTTTTCCTTTGCATGGTGCTTCAGCAAGTAATTTCTCTGATCTGCCGTCCTCCGCAATATTCCATGTAGAGCTGAGGTATCCCGTTTCATTTGGTGTCTCCAAATAGCTGGAGCTTTCTTCTCCCTCCTCAACCATCTCCTTTGCCTAAATTGTTTGTACATTACCCTAGTCCTAATTTAGTAAAGACACATGGGTATTGGTAGTGTTCTATCTTAAAACCAGTGATAGGCTGGGTTTTTTGAAGGCCTTTTATATATATCTCTATATATATATAAATAAATAAGGTTCCTTTTATATCGCCATATTATCTTCAGGTCACCAGCAGCACTGCAGTAGCTCTGTGTTTCTAGTTGTACTTGAAAGTTTAAAGCGGTTTACTCACTGCAAAAATTACTTCCATCTGGTTGCTTAGCTTGCATTTTAGTGCAAAGCTACTGGAAGGTTCTGCAGTTTGATATGCATGAATGATAAACCTGATACAGTTTATCCACAGTTATTTTATATATCTACCACTGAGAGCTCAGGTGATTTAAGAAAATCATCTTTCCCGTTAATAGTAGAGTGGAGGAACAAGCAATGCCTTATTCTAATGTTTCTCTTGCTGATAGTATGTGATGGAAACAGCTAGGCACTATTAGGAAAAAACAGTTGCTGATAAAGATAGCAGATTGGTTGAAGATTGGCAAAGCAACTTTTATATATATATACACCTACACATTTTTAAAATGTGATGATTGCCATTAGTATAAAACCTTTGGGTTGGGTATTTTCCTGCCAACCTAATCTCCAGTATTAGACAACATTTCCTAAGTTTTTTCATCCACGGCATCAGAAAACAATTGTCTCAGTGCTGCAATGGAGTTATTCTTTCAGTTTAGTACATCTTTTTAGGATCACAAAGTCTCGTTTGAAAACAAAGGCAGAATTGTATTCCAAATAATTACTTTTTGTTAGACTTATGCAAAAATATCTCTATCTACAAAGTCTCATGCCATCATAGAATCTCTTATGTTCATTTTCTAGGGGTTTTTTTTAAGCTTCTAAGTGAACAAATCGAAGAGTTATTATTTAAAGGCTAAGCCAGACCCAGTTTCTACTTAGTTTTTCTTGAAGAGTACTCTTACAGAAAGCAGACTTTGTGCTACATTTGCCCAGTATTTACAAAACTTGACAGTGGTACATGTTGTGCT